CTGGGAAAAAAAAACAAAACAACTTTGAGAGAGCTACTTTAGAAGATGCAGCCTTCACCTTTTATGAGTGCAATCACATTTTGGGGAAAAAATAATAATAACCAAAAAATTCATTAAATTGACTACTGAAAGCCTCATTCAAGGCCATTTGGAAATGTCTTGCCTGGGTAATCAGATTTCTGAACTGTGACATTTTTGTAGTTTTAATTCCATTCACAAGATGTGTTAATCACACCCGATTCCACTGATACAGCTATTAAAGGAGAGGAAAAACCTCAGCAGTTACCATAACAAAAACACTTCCTTTACTGTTTTTTCCATTCAAGTCACAAAGAATACAATGAAGTTTTTTTTCTTTAGTCTACACATAGCGTTCAACTCTCACATCACTCTCTTTGTGTCTGAGACTTTGTGCATATACACAGCTGCTACTTCATAACTATGCACAACAAGCAAGTTGCAAGAAGGAAGCTCTATCTCAGAAGTATGAAAAAGAAACCTGAGAAAACGGATTAGAAAAGGTTCATCAGAGACAGAAGAAGAATAAACTGATTTTGTTACCTGCCATTGCCAGTCTGCATGCGATGCTATCAAACTGCCCTATAAATTAACTCATTTTCTTCAGTTTTCCAATTAAGCAAGTACTACACTTAGCACAACTTTTGCTGTAAGAATGAAATCATCACCATCCCTCGTCCAGAAAAGCCTCGCAACGCCTTAACAAAACCAAATCACCACCAAAGTAAACCCACTCACCATAAGCCAGTATTTTATACAGGAATGCTGACAACCAAAATGCAGCTACTTCTATCAGCTGCTTAACAGCTCAGCATTCAACACATTCTTGTCACGTACACACCCACACACAAAACACTAAGTGGATAAAACAGAAAAAAAACCCACACCAAACTGTGGGCAAAATGAGTCAAGCCAAACCAGAAGCTGAGCAGACCTCTTTGCTTTCTTTGAAATGACACTTCATTCAGAAAAAGGTCACACTGGATTTAGCATTTACACTGATGATCAGCAGGATAAGGGCACAGACCAGCTATTACATGTGATAAGAATGGAATGAAAACCCTGGAGACCCAAGTGGGAGACAATGGAGCTTGCACCCCTTAGGGCTTTATCAGTGCACGCAGAAAAAAAATCTACAATTACTCTTACAAACAGGAAAATCCATGAAACCTAATAATCAAAAAAAAACAACCCACCACAAACCAAAACCCCAAAGAACTAAACAAAAAATCAAAGAAACCAAACCCACACCTACTCACACAATATATTTATTTTAATCCTTTTTTTCCCAGCAACAGAGGCTGTTTTAGACAAGGGACAGGTCTGCCTTGATAGCCTATAGAGTTTTGTCTTTATAACTCTGCTCCCTGCCCCATTTAGGTGGGGAACAAAACAGCTATGACTCAAAGATGTACCTTGAGAGGAAGCTGACTATTACATTCCTCATCACCCACGTCTCTAGGGAGGTCAGAAGCATTTTTCAAGAGATCATTTCCCCTGAGCTACGTGAAATTCTATCCAGAAAAAAACCTCAAATAAAATCGATGCAGTCTTGTGCACTCTCCTGTAAAGTAAAGGCAGATCCTCTGGCTACCTGTCTCAAAGAAATTTGCAAACAGGTGCATGGTTTCGGCAAGTGAGAAGAGTTTTGTGACACAGGGATGCGATTTTCTTACAGAAAGAAAATCACAATTATTTCAGCTTTTTCTTCTGGTACAGGACAAAACAAAGTTTCAGGATCTGATATATCAAAGCTTGAGCAGTGCTCAAATTCTCTTGCAATAAACAAACTCAGATTCATTTAATGTGTCTGTATTATGAACAATACTGTGTTCAAAAGGCCTTTCTCCTGTGCCACAGCAAGAACTCTGCATCACAAATCTGAACTGGAATCAGATTCCTGTGGAAATTGTATCACTATCTGAAGCCTAGCACTATGTTTTTATTAGAGAAGTAGGTGCTTTCCAGCCTTGTCAAATGAGACAGTAACACAATCATGGAGTAAAATAATTAAAACTCGTCAGTTGCTATTTGATTGTTCTTAGCAACCTTTTCCCAGAGAGTAGAAAGCATCAAATTGGGCGAAAAGGCATTAAACCCAACAACACACACGTACTACAAGACAGAAGGCACGTTTTGGTCTTACGGTCAAGAAGTTCTTTGGAAAGAGTACTGAACCCAAAGCCTGGTTCAACTGAGAACTGCAGTAAAATGGGAAGAGATGTCAAGTCCCAGAACTCACACGAACCACAGCAGCCACTAACACTGTGCTTCCTTAGGGTCATATCCAACAGCCACATCACAGGCCTTTCACAAAAATCAAGTTAGTTTGCATTCTCACACAGTGCAATTTTAGATGATAATATTTTTCAGAAAAGAGGTGGATCTTTCACTCACACAGAGAATGAGGCATGAAGAAACTCAAAAGGGACGGCTTCTCCAGCCGTCGTCACTGGAGGGAATACTTTGAGCTCAGTGTCTGATCCACTTGGTAATTCTCTGCCAGCAGATTGTCTGGCCTTTGGATGAACCAAAAGCGGTCACAAAGTGAAGAGACAGACCAAATGCAGAAAGCAGGTTCCTCTCTCTCAACAAAATCTATCCTCAGAAAAAAAATCTGTAGCTGCTTTCAACAAACCCCTTAAGATTTACCCTAAGAACTTCAACATGATCATTATAAACCGACCTTTTCTTGGCATGATATCCAGAACGTGAGTGCCAGTAAACAAGCATGGGCAGTTTTACCCAAGCAGTTAAGAAGCACAGCTCCTAAAATGTGTCCGTGTTACCTCCAAAGAACTTCGGCAGTTGCGAATTCAGACCCCAGTCGCATTTCCGTTTTCTTCTGTGAAGAGTAAGAAGTGAAAGGGGCACTAGCAAGCACAGGACTCACATGTACAAATGGAGACAGCAGGTTGAAAGAAAAACTCCCTTCTCATTCAGAGCACACATACTCTACTCCAGATTCCAGTGCTGACATCGATTCAGAAACATGATGCTGACACAGAGAAAGTCCCACAACTGATCTAAAATTAGAGGGGGCTTTATTAAAGAGAGAAAGTAAACCAAAGAAGACTTAATATGATTTATTTTTCTTTACAATCTAAAGTATTTTGCATCTCCTACAATATAACCTATTGCTTTAAACCTTTGATATACTGCTTGAACAGAGACCCAAACTCCAGCAGTCCCGTCTCAAGCATTTACTGTTATTTCTCTGACAAACCCCAGTGCAACACTGACTTCTCCTTCATTAAAACTCAGAGAATTCTCACACAAAGTTTTCCGTTTTTATCTCTCAAACCACTTCAGAACTGAATTCATTTGTTTTGGTAGTAATTTTTGCAGTAGCAATTTGACAACAGATTCTCAGCATTTGTGTAGACCTGACTTTGCTCATTTTTCCAGAGTGACCACACACACACGGGGACCATTTGGGTTTAGCTCCCATTATTAACAAAGCACAACCCCACTCTGCCAACTAATTATTTAAATAAAAAATAAACACTAATCAAACATTTTAAAAGTTTTAGCAAAGAAATGTAGACTACATAGATATGAAAAGGATTCCTCCTATCACATTTTGAAGTACAGTTAGTACAGATACTACTGGAAAGATAAGAGAAGATTTCACTGGAGAGATATCCACCATGCGCCCAAGTTTCTTTCCACTAAAGTTTCCAAATCCCTTGAGAGTCAGGAGCAATGCCTGCCTGAAACAGAACACAGATCCCAGTCATGGAGCCACAACAAACAATTTGCTGGACACTTCTGTTGCAGTCTAGAGGCTGCAACACAGACCTGCAGACTGTACTCATGTGCTTCCACTTTAATAGAACTTTCGACTTAAGATGTATTTTCACAGTGAAATGGGTATGTCAAAGTTTACTTTACTTTTGTTCCAGACATGCAGCAGAGCCTGTGAGCCCAAAAGGCAGCCCGTTTCCTTTTGAAATCAACCAATATGGCTGCAGGAAGTGAGAGATAATACCTCTTCTTACAAATAGTCTTACTTTGGTGGGATTTTTAAAAGGTTTAGCAAAGTAGTCCTGTGCATTTCAAGTAATTTGGGAAAGCTAAAAGAAGACCAGATTTAAAAAATGTAACAAAGTACAACAACAAAAAGATACCCTACAACCACCAACAAAGATACATGCACACCACCCCGACAGTGTCACAGTGAAGATCTGGTTAAATGAGAGTTCAGTTTAAGCTAAGGGAAGAAGTCCCAGTGACTTTAGTAATGGCATGCTTACACCTCTCTCCCCCTCCACACCCACCCCCCCATACTGTAAAGCCAATTAAGTAGGAGCTAAGCCTTTCTTCCTACCACATCGCTAAGGCAATGGTGCTGCTAGTTCCAGCAAAGCTCCCTCATACTCTGTTCATAGACTGTACTTGTCAACATACAATTAGATCATTCCTGAATTAAAAAAAAATACCCGGAAGCAACTTTGCATAAGGACTATTTTCTTTCAAAGCGCAATAGAAAGTTGGCATGTACTGCATTTACCAAAACTGTAATGTGGTTTAAGTATCGGTTTATTTTAAAAATATTCAGCTCTCACCTACAGGCTACTCCAGATCCCTGTGAATCAGCAGATATTTTATCAGAAAACTTCCTTCTTTAAGTCACCTTTACTTCCCCTCTGTACTTTGCAGAAAGCGTTAGAAGAACTATGCGATCAGCCTTCACTATAGGCAACTGTCTACTACTGTCCAGAATGAAGAACATGAAATATTCAGGATGTAAAACTGAATTTTGATATATAAACCTCTAACAAACCTAACACTCTACTGACTACAGAAAATTTAAGTAAATGGCAGCCATACAACAGACAGCTTCTTTCAGGTATTTACAATATACTTAGCATCACATCATGAGTTTAGGTATGCTTTTTTCCTTTGTCCTCTTCCAGATACTCCTGGGTTTTAAAGCATCTCAAATAAACAGATGTTTAAATCAGACGCTACACAGGTTAAACAACATGGTTCTATTAAAAACTATCTTTAAGCATGGCACTCAGTGACAGCAATACAATACTTTTTTCCACAAAGCAACTAATATAAAAATATGCCATAAAATCATCTGTAGACTAGTATGCTAGTACATACATGTAATCATAACATTCTTTTAAAAACTCTTTCCTGAGATACCTTGGGTTGTTTGATTTTTGTGTATTACTGGATGCATTATCTTTATGATTCATCTAAAACAACTGTACAATATTTTGTACGTGCAGGACACTCGGTAACACGTAAAAAGTAGTACGCAAATATATGGCAAAGAAACAGCTCTTAGAAATTACACGCTTTTACTGTGTTAGATTTTTTTAACATTTGGCTCCTTGGGAGATGGGAGGAGCACGAGAAACCTGAAATTAGAGCTGTGAATTGAGAGAAAGCAGGAAAAATGTTAGGAGTTGGAATAATAAATGACACAAACAGAAAGCCATAATTCATGTTGGCTATGTATTGCCTTTTAAAGCAACTGGACATATTTTAGTCAGTTCACAGTATAATAAATATTTTTACTAATCTGTTTTGGAAGAGCAAATGTCTTCTAGGGTTTCAAGCTCCTCTATAAGTTTCTGGTTCTGAACTTCTAGCACTGCAACACGATTCTCCAGACTTTCTATGTATTCTTTCTTCCGACGTCGGGATTTTTTAGCAGCTTCCCTGCAAAAAGCAGAAGTAAAAAGTGCAAACAAAAAAGCCATTTGCATGCCATTAGAAAGCTCAGCAGAGTATGGAGACTATGACAGAATTCCAAGTTTTGGAATATCTCCCAAATCAGTCTGAAAACACTAAGCAAAACTGGGTTCCACAAGGGCCTCAAGTGTCTCTTTCTCAAGTTCGTATGGCAATCTGTAGAATTGCTTCCTCTCACGCCTTGATTAAAGTTCATAACAAAGGAGGTCCAAATGAAAGACAGTTACTCTGCTTTATGACAATAAAGATCTTTAAGGGCCTTGAGTTCCTCAATGAGAGTCTTGTTTTGGTTTTCAAGCACAGCCACACGATTTTCAAGACATTTGACATATTCTTTCTTCTTTCTGCGACATTCTCTGGCAGCTTCCCTGGAACCAATACAAGGCAAATGACTACAGGAACAGCCACAATATGGCAAAGACTGGATAAATGAAATTACCTGCAATCCCTGCAGTTCCACAATAACAACAACAACCACCATCACCAACAACTGTTGGATTGTACAAACAGAACGGCAGATAACAGCCATAAGCAGTAACATGGTTAAAACACAATTCAAAACAACTAGAATTGGAAAGAAATTCAGCATCAACAAATAACAGACAGAATTAATGCACAGAAGAACTGAGAAAAACAGTGAGTAAACAACAACATATTGACTTGAACTGTACTAAACATTTAGACTGAGAGCAGCATTTCTTCCTCCAGTCACATTCCATTTTATGTGTTTGTTGGGAGTATTATCTCCTGCAATCCAAGTTGTAAAACCAAACCCAAAGAATTTACTTTCAGAAAATACAAGCACAACACTGCTCTCTTTGGATAAAAAGCTAGATGCCAAGCTTACAACCTCCTGTCATTTGTTTACCTTAAGGTAACATTCTACAGTAAAATTTATGTCCAAACTAGCAAAATATTTTAGCATTTTACAACTGTCCACCTGGGTATGTTTCACCCACATGCATCTGGGGTTTTTTGTTGCTGGCAAATGGCAGTCTGGAGCCATACTCATAGCTCTGCTCAGGATTCTGTTATATTCATAGAATTGTAGAATGGTTTGGGTTGGAAGGGACCTTAAAGATCATCTACTTCCAATCCCTCTGCCATGGGCAGGGACACCTTCCACTAGACCCAGTTGCTCAAAGCCCCATCCAACCTGGCCTAGAACACTTCCAGGGAGGAGGCATCCACAACTTTTCTGGGCAACCAGTGTCCCACCACCCTCACAGTGAAGAACTTCTTCCTAATGTCTAATCTCAATCTACCCTGCTCTTGTTTAACACCCTTGCCTGTTGTCCGATCACCTCATGCCCTTGCAAAGTCCCTCTCCAGCCTTCCCTTTCCTGTAGATCCCTTTAAGTACTGGAGGGCCACTAGATTGAAGCTAAACACTTTGAGTAGTATTTCCAGAAGCATATGACTGAACAAGCATTAAATTCCAGAAGAAATTTTAGAAGTACTGGGAGTCCACTCCTTTAACATCTTGCAACATGATAAATTGTCAAATTGTGAGAGTGTAACTTTCCAGCAAGTTATATGAGAGAGAAACTAGTGTTGAAACTGAAGAGAGGAGAAAGAAAAGGAGGTAGAACAATGCAGTGATCCTCAGTAGTAATTTAAAATAAAAGGCATGAGAGCAAAGCAATGCCATTAATTCAATCATAAAGCAAGGGGTTATTCAATGTATTAGAGATCTGCATAGCAGACTATTTCTTCCATTAATCTAACTGCCACGGATAGCAGTGGCCATGCATTTTTTTTTTTTTAAAAAAAAAAAGGGAAGGAGTCCCTTAAGAATAGCAAGAAGAATGCAGAGAGGGAGACTGGCATTTACAGCATACAATCAACTCCATGTCACCTGATTAAAATATAGAGCCACATCATATAATATCCCTCAGAAAATGACAGGAGCACTGCACAGTATCTTATCCCAGTAGCCAAGTGTTTAGGAAAGACTATAATTATCATTCCATCCTAGAGTAAGTCCTCTTCACAGCATCATTAAAGGACAGCTGCTAATGAGATCCTCAGATATTTTCCAAACTGATTCTTTGCTGGGATGTTTGAAAATGAACAAACCTATACTGGTTATTTTACTGTCACTAGAGGGTGAGGAGGAATTAAAAAAAAGCAACAAAAAGTATAGCTCCAGATCATCACAAAAATTATCAGAAAAGGACAACACTAATATCTATTTCTGAATTACCATAGTATTTTAAAACTAAAAATCCATAGTGATATGGTCAACTCTGACTTTCCAGAGTTAACAGCCAATACCTGACGCTAACAGAAAGACTGACAACGAATTTCTTGCCTTACTTTTGTCAGTCAAAGGCAGTGCTCATGACCTTAACAAGAAAACTTCATTAGAACCTTTGCTGATTTTTTTTTTTGGCAACACTTACTATTAAATTGTTAAATAGACTTACCTATTCTTCATAAGTCTCAGCTCCCTCTTGCGTGTTGCCTCTTCTGCCAGCTGCTGAGGGCTATGCAAAGTCCCTGGTGAGGCTGCCATTACCACTCCCTGAGGTAAGGCAGTAGTGGGAGTTCGAATCTGGTAAGCTGGCATGTTTCCAGTTGCAGCTGGTATAAAAGAATCATATTCTAAATGTTAGGGCAGAAAAATAAAAAAGAAAAAAAAGAAAGAACTATGCAGAAGTCTCTCTGGAAATAAAAGAATTCTGTTCATGAGTTATGCAGGAACCCTGCTACATAAAATATTTCACAGGCCTGTAATGTCACAACTATACTTGTTATCTCAGTAGTGTTCTTTTTCCACTCTATAAAATAAGTTATCTCAATTGCTCCGCCATGTGGCCCCACTAGCCAGCCAGACTGAAGCGTGTGAAAGTTACCACATGGCTCTTTTCAGACAACATAGGGAAAGCTGTTTGAGAAACACAGTCAGAGCATCCACACTTATTTCCTGTTTACACAATCCCATGAAAAGATCCCCCCACTCTTGCAGCCACTGAGATTTACACACTACCCCTGACCTCTAACAGAGGCTTCAGGAGTCAACTTGCTTCAGAAGGCAACTTTTTCCTCCTACCCTTTGACAGCAACAGTACAGCAGTTTGGCAGCCCTTGGAATACCAGTAAGAGCTGCTGCTGCTAAAATAAAAAGGAAAAAGACAAATACTCATGTTGAAGAGAAGCACGTTCCTTGAGCAAGAAGACCGCAAATAGGATGCTGCAGCATTAGCAGGCAAGAGGAGGTAGTGGGAGTTGCACAGAAAGGGGTGTAGCTACATGGTAAATTGGTGTGCAAAAGTGCAGATTCAGCCTCTGAGCCTACCAGTTCCGAGCTCTGCCCAAGGTGAACACAGATCTGAAATCTGACACGTCATTTGCAACCACCACCTTTCTGGTAGTGTCACCTCATTTCTGTATTTCTGAGGCACTTTGTTCCTACATGGCGCAGCCCAACTGGAAACCGCTGTGGAAGTCCTAAAACTTGTCTTGTCTGACACAAGGGAAGAAAATAAAAAAATCAAAGAAGTATCCCTCTTCAAATTATATGCAAGTATTTACTTATCCATTTCCAAAAATACTTTATATTATCACATAACAAAACTTCACATTTTGTCACTAAAGCAATTAAATATAGAAGTTGAATCTTCAGAGGCCTTACGTTATGCTTAATTTATACTTTTTTTTTAAAGCAATATTCAAATAATGGAAAATCTTAACTTGTGCCATGGTTTAATCCCAATCAGCAACTAAACACCACACATCTGCTCCCTGACTCCCTGCTCCAGGAAGATGAGGGAGAGAATTAGAAGGGTAAAAGTAGGAAAACTCACAGGTTGGGATGAGAACAGTTTAATGGAAATAAAACTAAAATAGCAGCAATAAATTGTAATGAAAAAGGAAAATAACAAAAAGAGAGATAAATAAGCCCCAAGACAAACAAGTGATGCAAATGAAAAGCAATTGCTCACCACCAGCCAACCGATGCCCAGCCTGTTTCTGAGCAGCAGCCCCAAGCCAGCTCTCCTCCTGGTTTATGTACCCAGGGGGACCTCACAGGGCATGGAATATCCATCCCCTGGGCCGGTCTGAGCCAGCTGCCCTGGCTCTGTCCCCTCCCAGCTTCTTGTGCACCCCCTGCCTCTTCTCTGGCAGGGCAAGAGGAGAAAAGCTGGAAAGTCCTTGACTCGGTGTAAGCACCGCTCAGCGACAAATACATCAGTGTGCTAGCAACATTATTTTCATCCTGACTCCAAAACACAGCTACCAGGAAGAAAATTAACTCCATCTCAGCTGAAACCAGGGAAATCTGGTAAAATAAAATGTAGACAAAACTGCTTTGGGGACGCTAACTGGTAAAGCAGTAAAGAGACATTAGTCTCTTTTACAGGGATAAAACCCCAAAATGTAAACTTAATACAAAAATTACTGCTATTCTTATTAAGTTAATGCAGGTGCTTCACTAATTAAATACAACAAAATAGGATCAAGTTGTGTTTAGACTACAACTCTACAGCCATGTCCTGAAATCATTATCAGCTTAAACACTTTTACCTGCCCAGTCGAGAAAGGGGGGAGGTGCAAAGTGTTTGTGGAACTACAAGACGAACTGGACCTGTGAACTGACCCGAGTTGGCTAATCCCCTGGGGATGGGGAAGGAGAGAGAAATCGGCCCAGGACAGCCCCGTGAACACTAACCTGCCAGCAACAGGCCTTGTCTTCCTGTACATCTATCGGAGAATTAGCAAACCCTTTCTTTATGGTCTCCACGTTTCTTAGCAGTCCCAGTTATGTCAATGGGACGACACTCCAAATCACAGTTTATCAAAATGGAATTTTAGAAACTCTTCTGGTTCACCTTGATGCTGACCACATCACATATACTTTGTAGGCTCTATGGTAAGAACTATCTTTTCCTCTCTGTCATTGCTAGATTAAAAAGAGCTGCTATCTTAGTTTGCCTTAGCTACAACAAGTTAGAAATCCAAGGGAGCCATTTGGCGTATTAAGTCACCTGGCAAGGCTGAGGTGACCTGGGTGAAAACACTAACAGGACTTACTGCTGCTGCTGCTGCTGTGAGGACTGGGGTGTGATAATGTACCTGCAACAGGATTTAACAAAAGGGAGTCCCTATCTCAGCTGGGATCAGCAAACACCACTGTAAGAACATTTTGCACGAATAGTTTGACCGGGTTCCAGTAGTGTCTCTCCCTGACTAACAGTTGGCTCACTTATAAACCTACTGGCGTGGTAACAGACATGAATAACCATTTGGTGGTACAGACGTTGAACCAGATGTCATGGTTTAAAAGAAATTTAAAAAGGAGAAAAAGAAAGAAAAGAATGAAAAGAACGAAAAGAAAGAAAAGAATGAAAAGAACGAAAAGACAGAAAAGAACAAAAAGAAAGAAAAGAAAAAGAACGAAAAGAAAAAGAATGAAAAGAAAGAAAAAGAACGAAAAAAAGAAAAAGAAAGAAAGAAAAAGAAAGAAAGAAAAAGAAAGAAAGAAAGAAAGAAAGAAAGAAAGAAAGAAAGAAAGAAAGAAAGAAAGAAAGAAAGGAAAAAGAATAGCATTGAGAAAGTATATATTAGTTGTGCTTTGTGCTTTGTGCTTTGTGATCCATTATTGCAAATCAATTACTTCAAAGTCTGCAAATTTTTTTGTATAGTATCTAAAAAAGTTACAACAGTTTCCTCTGAAAAAGACATTGGAAAGGATGAAACAAGCTTTAAGCATGGGAGACAAAACATACCCTTGGAAAAAAAAAATCATAGTTTCAGCCTAGTAATGTACCTACACATTGCCCGGGGGGTTACCTTCCATTTTGGCATCTGACAGAAAAATCCCCAACATCTTGATCCAGACCAACAAATCTCTGTGGCTGTTTATAATGAAATTCCGTGGAGGTTTAAAGTAATTCCCAACATATCAGGCACTGGACTGAGTTAACAATGCAACGAACGGAACAAACTTCGAGATGGTGTGTTTCCCTAACACACTGCCCCAGGTCATCCCATTTTTAAATTTTTTTTCCTCCTTAGAATTGGGAGTAAAAAGTCACTGGAAACCTGAAACTTTGAGTTGGAACTTACCAAAAGGAAATTATTAACAGGAAGACAAACTAAAATACAACCAAAAAACCCCAAACCACATTCGGAAGAATACAATAAACCTTGTAAATTAAGCTATGAGAAATTAAAAAGAAAAATTAATAGAGGAAAATCAGGCACGTTGTATCAGCAGGTTGTTGGAAAAAATAACTTGCTGGACACTAGAGAGCATCACTGCACTCGAGCTCTTTCAGTGACTACCCAGGAGAAAAAAAGGCTGGTGCACACACTATGAATTAGTCTGTTCTCCCCTTCTGTGAGTCATAATGATGGGACTAGATTATCAAAGGGTTTTTAACTTCACCACTAAACAGGCTAAACAAGGCGTGAATCATTATCCCTTCGAGCATTAAAAAAAATAAATAAAAAATACCCGCAAAGCGTCCACCTGGAGAAGATCCTTATCTTTAGCTGACTGCACAACCCGTACCAGCGAGGAGCAGCAGCACGTAGGGGCCAGCTGCGAAGCGGTTAACGTGCCCGATGGGCCGGAGGCAACTGGCGAAGCAGAAAGGAACTGACTAAATCACAGCATGACTTGGAGCTGACGTCAATGTGTATCTTGTTTGGAGTTTAACTTTTCCAGTTCCCTACTGCAACACGGTTCCAGGAAATCTACTGACGTCAGCCTTTGGAACTCAATTAGCTGAGGAGCAGACCATTTCCACCGCGGAGGAGAACACAAGCCGGCGTTACAATGCTGCAAATCAATGCTCTCGCCCGTTTGTTTGCCTTCAGTATTTTCTTTCATAATCAAAGCACAGGGTTTATTTACACGACTGAAACAATGCACACTTTTCTCTCGCAGCTAGGCTTAAGCCTGTTTTAGCTATCAAATCTGAAGTGTTCTTTGCTAAACAAAAAAAAAAAAGCGGCAAGCAGTGTCATTTTTACAAAATAAAATCCAGTTCTAAGCATAGTAAGTTACGACTATCTCCACAATGAAGACTAATTTAAAAGCAGAGTGGAGGATTTTTCAGCAAAATCCTTCATCAGACTGTGAAGATTAGTTATGTGAATCAATCCGTGCAAGAACTCAGGCACTAGCCATGGATTTTTTTTTTCCCCAAATGAAGCTCTTCAAACTGCTCTGAAATCCTCCACTGACTAGGTCTGACCAGAAGCTATTTGTGCCAGTTCTGAAAAGCAGAAGAGCTACAGCAACAGGTTCAAAAGCAAATGTCACAAATACCAACTAAGCACTGCTTAGACACCCAAAAATGTAATGTAAAAGACTAACAATTTTTTTTTACCTGTTTCGTCTCCTGTTACAGCCATGATCAGCTTCTGCACACACGACTCTCCTGTTCCTCTACCAGAGCTCAGCATGAACTGTTCCAAACTAGCAAGCATGTGCAGGATTACAAGCAAGAGCACTGACATCACCGTGACCTCACTTGCTTACCACTGTCATTAATATGCTCTGTCACTGGAACAGCTCACTGAAACTGCAGCCTAAAGAACTCCTTTTCCAGTAAAGCTTTTTTTTTTTTATCCCCTCCTCTTCCATATTTTTATAAGCCTAGCTTTGTTCTTTCCCCTGAATTATTCATACAGCTACAGAAAGCACTCAGCACAAAGCAAGACCTTAACATTCACAGCACCGACTGACAGAAATTAAAACGTGGCTCTAGATTTCACGACTGTATGCAGACAATAGTCACGACTGGATGGAAAATAGGGAAATTTTAAAGAGACAAGCTCTTGTTTTGCTTGGAGCAGTTCCATGAAAAGGCAAAGAACTCTGTCAGACAGATGTACAAAACAGGAAAGCTTAATAAGCTGTAACAAATAGGTAAATGAAAGGCTAAAGCTCCTTGCTTTGGGGAAGGACCAACAACCCATTTGTTTAATTTCAGTTAGAGGCATCAGAAAAGATTGAAGAAAGCTCCAACAAAGTAAACCAACCTAAAGCTAGTAATTTCAAATACTGTAACAGGCAGAACAGTAACTCTGGGTAAGGGCTACCTCTCCCCCATTCCCTCCTTCTTCAAAATAAGCCCAAGAGTTCTGGTTAACTTAGTTCAAAAAAAAAAAAAATAGACGTCAGCTCTAACAGAGTTACTCCTTCTTATTTACATGAATTTAAATTAGTTTCAGCCCAACAGTCCAGGCACTGGTCTGTACATAGGGCATAACAAATTTCTAAGCCCTTTCTTTGTAATAAACAAATTCAGACTGGTAATTCATCAGCTATGAAGCTATGTTAAGGACAGCAATAATGAAACCATCAATGCAAAAAAGGAGCTCCCTGTGGTTCCAGGACCATTTCGGGACCGCATGAACAGATTATCAGAACTGAAGCACACAACAAATTCAAATCACATCTCAAATATCACTGTTCATATCACTGACCACATTATGAAAACTAACATAGATCCCAACAGAATGATTTTTGATACAACTTTTCTATACTCCTTTTCACTAATAATTAAACAAGTTCTTTTGCTTCACCTACCAAAAACCCCCTTACTGTGTATTATGAAAGTGTCAGGGCATCAGAACCGTCTCTTATTTTGTCTGTGAATATGAGTTTGTGGCAAATGAAATATCACTCAGTTGGATCAACACCTTTGGTGCTTTTATACTAAACCTTTTTTCCTGCCACAGGTTATTAGAAAACATCAAGCACAAGGTTTATGTGATGGCATCCATTATTACACGAGATTCATCAAAAAAAATATTTTTGAAAAAATACAAATGCGTATTTTATCTGAAAGGTTCTGAAATAAATCTTTTCTGCCCTAGGACTGATACTTGGGGGTTTTTTTGTTTGTTTTTTCCCTTTCTTTTACTTCTATGATAACTAAAAATAAAATTTTTATGCTGTCTATCCAAAATGATTACTAAGATTACTAATCAAAATGTTGCTGTCCTATTTTGATCTGTGCTGTCACAATATTAGGTGAACCATCAACTGCAAAGCTTACATAAATGACAAATGTTCATAAGCTATATTCCTCGAGACTTTCTAGCATAGGCAAGCCAACCTGCAGTAAGGACATATTAAGAGACTGGTATATTCAACTAACTCCACTGTCTCAGCACATCCTGAAAAACTCAGGTTTGGTGACAATCTGCAATTATTATCAGCAATCTGTATCACTGTAAATATTCTCAGGTACTGTACTCTTTATTTGCTCTGTTTTTCTTAAAGTTAGGTTTTTTTAAAAAGATTTGCCAGTACCAATAGTGTGCATAATAAGTTGAAACCTTTTATCTTCTCATCATCTCTGGGTTCATGCTCATGTACTATTCCCTTTGTATTTTTCCCTGTATATAATATGCAGCATTTTTCTTCTGTGTCAAGAGCTATGAGCATCACTAAAGCACTGGACTTCGTTTGGGCCAAAGGAAGAGAGAATTCTAAAAAGTCAACTTCTCGGAGCACAGACAGAGAACAAATCAATTTTGGTTAAAGTTATCTAGAAGCTTTCGGAAAGAGGATATAGCAGTTATTCAGTAACTGTCTCTGAATCCGGTTTGAAGGTTTTCATCACAGGCAAGACACTCGGTAGGCTACACCAGCAGGTAGTGGAGCCCATCACTGAGACTGAAGAGGGTGGTAAGAGGACAGCCCTGTCAGAGGACAACCTGCAAGGAAGAGTGTCTAAAGGAAGGCCAGTCAAATGAAATTCCCAAGGACTAAAATGTTGTCAGGTACAATCCTTAACTTCTGCTCTTCTTCACAGACTTGGAGAGGTTTTAGGAAACAACTAATCTCTCTGCGCCGCCCCCGAAGCGCTGAAGAATAGAAGTAATATATACAAAATACAACCTGGAAAGAAAGGTCCTCTAATTTAAGGGGTGTGTACATACATGTATAGAAAACATGTTAGACTCATACTCAGAAAATAGGCACTTACCAGAGCGGAAAATTTGTTTGGGGGAACAGTCAAATGTGGGGTTTAAGGCTTTGGTAAGAATGTATTCATAATAATACTTAGTGAAGTTCTAATAGTATTCTCTGCATAATGAAAAAACTAACATTTTGGTGAATCATTTTTCATATTATAGAGATTCCTTGAAACACTTCTAAAAAGGGAAGACAACGTCTTTCAGCAGAATTAACCAGAGGCAATGGAAGCATTCAGATTTGGTATCATTATTTAGGATTGCCTCAACAAGTTCAGTTATCTGCAAGCTGTTAGCTTCATTTATATCCTGGGCTTCTTTACAGCAAAGGGAGAGAAACAGCCACTTAAATACAGAATTTATTTCAAACATCCATATTAGCACAAAAGCATCACCTCAACCTAGTTTTCACCACCTCTCTCAGACATCTGTTTACATTTAGTCAATAACTCTCATCCACTCCAGGAATACTTATTTAAAGGCTTCCTACCTCTTCTCATGGTTTATTTTAGAAAGCTGTTTTGGCTAAAGAATGCATTTGTACAGCCCTCCCGCCCCACTTCTCTGTGCCAATTTTTTTTTTAAAAAAAAAAGGAAAATAAATTCTCTATATCCTCCATGGCAACCTCCATACAGAAATCTCTTCCACATTTTCATAGGTTTTCCTCAACATAACCCAAATCTCAACCCTTACTTTCCCTGGTATTGATAAGAATCCAAGATATCTTTGGTTCTCAATCTCCCTCAGCATTCCCAAAAGGCTGGGAACAGCCAAAGGAAAAAAAAATTTACATAAACTACAGTAAAGTTCAAGACTTCACTATTCACAGTTCAGTTCACATGTGTATATTTTATAGTACTCACAAAGTGTTCTGTGAGAAAACTAGCTTCAGTAAAGAATCTCCTTTCCAATAAATACCAGAGTCATATTTTGCAAGGAAATTCTGCCCTAAAAATATGCAAAGAACTTCAGAACTTGTGTTTTATTGAGATTGATTAACTTCTGAAAAAAACCCAAACAAATTAATTTCATATATTAAATAAGATGCACCATCAGCATCTCATTTCGATCTGTAACAGCATCTTTACTGCAATTAACATATCTCTGAGAGTCTGGACAAGAGAATTCAAAAGCAGGAAGTGATTTTATACTCTATTCTCAACTCAAAAGAAGGAGCTGCTTTACTGAGCAGAGTATCCGAGTCTCCTCCTAAGAATGTATTTCATCATGCTATGCATAAATATTCTATTTGATAGTGCAATAATGCCAACATAAAATAAAAAGCCTTTCAAGAGAAATATTTTATATGAAAAAACTAAATGAAATATACCTTGAAAAACTACTTGGCTTCCAGGAACAAAAAACTGTGTGCCGTCGAGTGATTGTCCAGCATATTGCACAATGGCAGCACCTGGCTGAGGAGCTCTTGAATTTGTCATTGTTAATGTCTGTAGTCCATGGACACCATCAGAGGCTGGACTGGCAATCTGGATTGCACCAGCTTTAGTTGCAACTAAACAGAAAAGTTAGAGAATAGAAAGAAAAACAACGTGTTACAAAGCGCATCTCCCTTTTTAAAATAAATGTTGTCTGATAAGACTTCTGGTCCTCTCTTTCTATAAAGATCAATTGTACACTAAAACATAATGTTAATACTGATTTGTGCAAATATAAAGCCTAGTTGTGTAGCATGCGCCACGTGTGTAACAGATCAAAAGCAGTGTTCCACACATTTTATCTTGATGCTTCCAGAAATATTAACTCTTCTAAAATAGTTTTAATATATGAAAAAAGACAAAATAGTAGCTCCTGGTGATACAGAACCATTGCTGATTGTAACTCTAACATAAAAGACTCAATATTAATTTAAAAAACAAAAGCAGCTCTGGCTACCAACTCCCACAAAACAAAAACCAGGACATCTAGACAAAGGAATAGCAAGTCTTCTTACAGTCACAACCCCTTCCTTAGTGTGAGTGAAAGTCTAGGCCAACAATGTTTTTCCAAATGGCACAAAGCTGTAAGAAGTCCAACACTGATGGAAAAAGAGAAACAGAAGAAAGAGTGGGGGTTTTTTCCCTCCATGTAACCAGCGGACCCCTGGGGGACACCTCTCGTCACTGGTCTCCACTCAGACATCGAGGTGTTAGCTGTAACTCTTTGAGTGGGACCATCCAGCCAATTCCTTATCCACCGAGTTGTCCACCCATCAAATCCATGTCTCTTATGTTAATCAAATACTCCTGGAACTTTTAGATGAGAACCCAATTCCCAAGAAGTAACAAACAAATCTTTCCCCAAAAGATATCTGAAGTACAATCATTTTCATTGTATTTAAAGCAGTGTGAGATGGTACAAGTCATATATAAGTACAGATTCAGGACTGCCAACTCCTCTGATTTCACTGTCAGATTCACAATCTTTGATGGCATTTTTGAAGGTTCAGCGCTGATTAGCTGAATATCCAATTTGTTAGACACTCACATGAGTTTTGGAGACAGTTGATTTCCAATGTTCTGTCCTGACAATAGTAGGTCATCTTGAACGTGCAGTATCAGATAATAACATTTCAATGAGATACTAACAGTCAATTAGTAAACTGTTATTTGTAAATTAGACACCAGTAACTAACTATTGGAAGCTCAGATAATTTTTTGACAGTGTAGCAGTATCTACCAAAATTGCCAAATCCCAGTAGCTAAATTAACTTTTTCTGGGGGGAAATGGGGAATTCCTCTCATGCTGAATGAAGCACAGAGCCCCATTTGTAATACTGGAACAAGGTTCCGCATGAACCTCCAGTCCCACCCTTGGAACAGGGAACATGTACTGTAGGAATTAGCTTGGTGCTGCATTAAGGGGGAAGGAGGGAAAAAAATTTTTTTTTAAAAAAAAAGGAAGATTTGTTTCAGTCTGGCCTCCAAAGCATTTTGGGGCAAGGCAGAAGAGAAAAGCCATAAAAATAAATCATTGTCTCTATTCTTTGCAAGATCCAGGACAAGAGTAGGTGCCCAGCAGCATGCAAGCTTCCCAGCAGAATTTGTCACCTCTGCCTCCCAGGGAAGTTATCCACAGCCAAACTCAGCCTCTCACAGAGTTCACACCAGAAACAGTATGTCTAGACATGACAGTACCATACCACATAAAAACCAGTCAGTTCGGGTTCCTGAGCACTAAACATCAGCACAGGATCAAAGTTCTTTGCCTCACAGTGAGCCTCGGTAGAGCAACTGTGTCATGGCTGTCCTGCAATTATTTGTTGAGATCACAACGCGGTCCTTTCTAAACAAGAGCAAACCGTCGCACTTACAGGATTCACTCCTGCCATATTCCCAGAACAACACCCTGCCCTCAGCCCATTCCCTGTCCTGATTTCAACCACTGCACAGACTTTTGTTGTGCTAGAGCTCTATAGGAAATTGAGCATTTTACAAAGAGTACAGGACTTTCCTGGACAGTGGAGATGAACAGATGGATGCATGGAAGTGGCATCTTCTCTTCTAGCTAGGACTGAAGCTGACTCTAAAATCTTTCTCTGAGTATGACCAATAGCTCTAATGTAAAAAAATCAGATCTTCCCCTCCCGTCCAAAACTGGGAAAAGTAACTAAAATTGTTCTTTCCTAAAAGATTTCTCCAATTGTTAAAAACCTGTCCTAAAGCAGCAGGTAACCCAAACGGATGGTAAAAGAACTACTAGTTTTCATTTCTCCTGCATCATTTCAGACAGAACTTGTGTTACACACAAGTAGGAGGAGAGGAGGCACGGGTAGGGGGTGTTTGATACTCATGCTCCTACTGAACAATTATTGAATTCTCGTATGGATAGACCACCACCACAGGTGAAGCAACCAATATTGTTTCAGCATTCAATAACCAACATGACAGAACTACCGTGAACAGAATAGATTTATAGTCAGATTAGGCTACAAGGCTCATACACAGACATCTCCTTACGAACAACTATCCGTTCCTCTTACAGGAAGATAAGATATATGTTGATTGAGATAACTGGGAAAGACATTTTATGTAGCTAGTCATGCCTGTCGGTCTGTCTGCTTCCATAAGCCAAAGCCAAGAAGCTCTAAGGAAAAAGATATTTGGAAACCATGGCAACATATCATTTTAGCTGGTTGAAAAGTAAAGAACAGCCACCATTGCTGCTAATAAAAAAAAAAAAATACACCTTTTCCAGAAAAAATTACTTATCAAGTTCTTCTAAATGTAGTCATCCCAGACATCCAGACACCAACATGGAGTCAAAGTCATCTTTTCAACTAAACTGCCTTTCCTAAGCAGGAATAGAGCGAACAGCAGAGAAAATAAGGAATTGGCAAACGTAGTCACATATGGTATCTGCTTTACGCCAGGGCACAGCACAGATGGCTGCAGTGACACTGCGAGGCCGGTTCCCCTTTGCCACAGACACTGTACAAGATGAGTGCACAAACTGCTGGGTGCCTGCCCAAGAGAACCCCTGCAACCAGTGCTGCCAAGAAGGGAGGAGGAGTCCAGAGACAGGAATGACAAGCAGAGGACCTATTGACAAGAGATGTAAAGATCAAATAGATACACGGGAGTGACCTTCATCATATCTGGACTGAAATCACCACAGGACATGCTGCATTCCCCCAGTGTTCCCAGGTTCAGTTAACAGCAGTTCCCGGGGATCACACACAGCCAACAGGACAGCTGCTCACAAATGCTGCAGATCTCTGCCTTATACATGTAAGGACTAGAAGTAAACAGTCAGGCTCCCTTTGGTAAATTCTAAATTAACAGCCCTTCTGCTATAAGGAAATGACCATCCTTGCTACAGCTTGGTACCAATTTTTCCTAATCAGAATTCAAGAGAACACACAGACTTCACTGAAGAAAAAGATACGTGATATTTTAACTTACGAAGTTGAATTTAAAAAAAAAACCAAACATCCAATTAATGAACTAAAAAATTAAGTAAGAAAAAACATTTCCAAGAAGACAAAGTACTCAAAAAGTTTTTCAGCCAGAATCAGAAGAGTCCATGAAGGCTGACATTGCATCCTGAAGCAATGCCTCATTATGGCTGAGAACCTATTTAACAAGGTAAATCACCTTGAATATACAGCATATGTTTTAAGCTATGGCTTGTTCAAAGAAAAAGCAGCATAAAACAGAAATCGTCTATGCTTAGCTCATGTGAAAGCCAAGTTTAAATTAAGATAATTGAGATTTAACTATATTTTTGTGGACTCTGTCAATTTAAACACATTGTAAGTTATGGTCTCTGTTGCCTGATTTTTCAGAAGTAAATGTCTGATGGAACAAGAAAGCAAAAAACTGAATCTCATGCTTTTATAGTGACTTCTCTGTCACTACCATTTATAGCTATGTTAAAATGAAAACATCCACAATTAAGAATCACCTCCTAGACATTACTAGTAGAAGTCCAACTCTGGTTTCCTAGAGGAATGTATGATTAAGAAACCTAAACTCTTAATTTCTTAGAAATTCTAAAGGCTTGAAGGTTCACTACAACATAGTACTGACACTACAGCACTTCTTTTTAAGCATGGAAACTGCAATTTTTATTTTTTAACTAAAGCTAAACCAAACTAAAAATGTAATTCCCAAATTGAAGAAAATAATTTGGTCAAGAATACCGGTCAGATTCTGTACGGGATAGCTGCAATTTAACATGACCACAAGTCCACATAAAAGAGCCCTTCAGATGCTGGACATCCTGAAGCAGATGTTAATTTCTCTGTATACCCTACAGAAAGGGTACGAACAGCAGCTTAGGAGGCCAAATAAAATGACTTTCTAGGCTGAAGGGGTAGATAGTAACACAGGCAAATTCTGCTTTCTCAGAGTTAATAATTACTTGAGTTGCATAAATTAAAAATAACTGAAGAATTCTAAGGATGACTAGAATACAACTAGAGAGACATTCTGTCTTCTTTTATGTGCCTTTGCAATGTTTTTACAGACTTCCTCTCTTCTCTTGTTTCAGGACAAAAAACCCACAGCATTTCTTTTGCAATTTTCCTGCCATTATATCAAAGGAAAAATACCTGGATTTCAGTGTCTACACACAAAAAGGCATGAAAAAAAAATTAACTGTAGGAGTGAAGCTTTACCCAACACATAACTGAAAAAAGTGTTCTTATAAAGTTATCCTTGGATGATATATGATTAAGCTTGAAGAAGCTACGCAGAGCAAAATGTAAAATTTTTAACACAAATACAGGAACAAAGAAACCCACAAATCTATAGAATAGAACTGTAAATCTAACTTTTCATTTGCATTTGGAGGTAGTATCAGGTGTTGGAGACTATGATTTAGGTTAATTCTGCAGTTAAAGTGTTCATACTTGACAACTGGAGAGGAAGGGACATAATTCTTTTAAGAAAGAAAATTCAAAGAAATAATTTCATACTCCAGACTTACACTTTAACTCGCCAATTACCATTTCATGTAATGAATATGACTAAGACAAAGCAAATCACAGCAATCTGAAACTGCGATGATTTATAACACTGAACCTTTGCACAGTAGTGTCAACATTTTTCATTTCACCTGAGCCTCACCTCCACATATTTAACGCACAGGAGTTCTAGAAGGACTAAATATAGCAACCAACAAACATTACAAGAAACAGACTAGAAGTCTATAATGCCCATGTTAGGAAAAATATATAAATTGAAATTATTTAGAAATACACAAGCTCTTATTCTTCTTCACCAAAATCCAACCTCTCTACTTCATTATGGTTTTTCTCATATATGTTCTGCAACATCATGGAGTATCTTTGCAAACATACTGTATTGCCCTGTGTTAGTATGATACAGGCTGGTTGGTGTGGCCATTGCAGAAATTCCAGAAGGTGCTCCCTCATCTTCTGACTTTTCCTCTTCTTCAATTTCCGATACTGCAGGAGCATCTGATGAGAGTTCATTCAAAATTTTTCTGAAAGATAATGTAAATAACCTTATATTTTTGAAATGCCATATCCATGAGAAAACTAAGTTAGTGGCTTTTATCAGACAGTTCCGCTGTATTACATAAGCTGCCTTTAAAAACCAGCAAACCCAAAATATAAAGCCCTTACCGGTACGAAGGCCTTCTTGAAAGTATTTCCCTACGTTTTTGAGAATCAATTATCCCTTGTGATTCTGCAGATTCATCTGCAATCGATGCTACCTGCAATAGCAAAGTTTCTGAAATTCATAACTTCATAAAAATAAGAAGCTAGCAGAGTAGAATACTCTCTTTAAAAAAATCTTTCCATGTTTGCATACAGGAAGTTTGTGCACTTATTTATTACTAATATACAATCTTGGACTTCTTTTTCCAAAACAAACCACAAATTATGAAGTTAGCAACACAGCCTCTTAGATGACAATCTTCCATTTGAAAAAGAAAAAAAAATCAAAGTAATACAGGTTACTTTTTTGAGAATTACATTTAGAAAAAGTATTGAAGACAGATTCCTTTAAATATAAAATTATACAGTTTAATTAGCTTTTAAAGTGATATTAAACATTTAAAATACAGAACACTGCACTAGTACACTTTAAATAACAGTATACAATACAAAAATCTCTTCACAACCACATCAAAGCTATTTAGAAAGTAAGTTTATTTAAATACATACACATTTATTACACTTAACCAACACATATTCATAAATACAAATACATTGCTTAGCACTACTCTGCAAGTTTTAGAAGCCAACAATATCTCATTTCCTCACACCTTTATTAGTAGTATTTTCCAGGTTCTTCTTTTAAAATTACTCAAGACAACATTAAGGCCTGGAGCTGAATCACATTCTTTACCATTATCTTATTACACTGAACTGAAAGTGATTATTTAACAAGTAAAATATACTATGTTCTTGATTAACTACTCAGAGCTACTGGTGTCTAAGATTTCCAAATTAAAACACTGCAGTAAAGTTAGTGTGGAAAATGACTTTGTCACATCAAGACACACCAGACTGGAGCCTGTTAAACTAACTGCTGCATGAACTTAACATGGAACAAGCATGAGGTTGAGCCTTCCTGCGACAGAAAGCTCCAGTGTTTGACCTGGGTGCAGTGGAGGCTTCCCTACAGCTCAAGGAAGACAAGGAAGAGCTCTAGATCTGATGTGGCTTCTGGGCCTAGAAACAAAACCTGCACGATGCCAACAGAAAATGGAAGGTTCTGAAAATTTATGGGCCTGGGTCCTTCCAACTCAAACCTATAAAACTAAAACTATAGAACGCCTTGAAAGAAGTACCAGTTATTGCAGAATAAAATTGTCTCTTCACTTATTACAATCCAGTTCCATGTAAAAATATTTAATGTAGCCCCATTTTGCTGGGTAATATGTAGGAGACATCAGTAAAACTCTGTGCCTGCCTAACCAAAAAAAGACTACATAGAAATAATGAGAGGCAATTCTACATGTCTAGAGATGTGTAGCTCCAAGCCAAGCTTCAGAGCTGACTGGCAGAGATACAAGAGCTTCCAGAAGTTCCTGTTCATCCTTTTGCAGGATGGACCAGTGCTGACCAGCAAAGAGATCTTCTGAAAGGCATTTTTCTCGAGCATTCTGCCAGTGGATCGACCATGAAGCCTTTGGCATAAGCCTTCCAAACTAACAGTATTATGTAGCTGAAAGCCTGGGCATCCTATCTCAGAACAGAACTCTCATTCTGCAGGGGAACAAAGATAAAAACATCTATTTGTTCCAGAGCAAACAGCAAGAAAGCAAGACTTTAGTGCCTTTAAACCTTCCCATTCAACTAAAGGTTACCAATAGCCACTCCCAGTTTGTGAATTTGGCCAATATCAGAAACAGCTGTACTTTGGGAAGAAGGTAAGGAAATCACAAGATGATTTAAAGATTTTAATATGGAAGAGGAAATGTTTTTCTTTACCAGCAGCTATCTAATTTTCTAATTTTCATCAAAGATGAAGGATAAATTTATATCTGTTTCAGCTTGTTGTAACAGCGAGCAACCACATTCACAATGCTAACCAATGGAAACCACTGTCATTTTTTCCTGGATATCGTTCAGATTTCAACTTCACCACACCACTCTGCGTTTGAACAAATTTAACTTCAAACTCATCTTAATCTGCCAATATCTGATAGATTAGATGAGGAAGCAAGTAGAAAAGTCAAATAACAATCTAGACGTGAAACCTTCTTACAAGTGAAAAAACATTAATGAAACCATAAGGAAGATGACAGAGTTAAGCATTTTATTTTTCATGCGAAAAGCAACAGCGTATTACCAGAAAAAATTTTCACCACCGTGCAGTTTAAAGCTGCAGGTGTTTAAGGGAGAGGTCATACAAGCTTCAACATCAACCTTTGTCATACTTCATTAATTTTTTTTTTTATTGAAAGTAAACTGACATAATTTCCCAAGTTCCCCTCTGTCTAGCAGACATAGAATATCAAGTTAAAGCCAAATAATCTGGAGGAAATGCCGGGCAGCAGGATAAAGTCCTTATGACAATCACACAAGGGCTGAACAATCTCTGGAATGGAGTCTACTACAGCATCTTCAAGCCCTTCTCAACTGAAACCAAAGCAAAACTCTGGAACTAACTTGTCAGTATTACTTGGGACAAAACTTTCCTGTCTCTCCTCCTTTGGGAGAGGCAAGAAAGACAGAGTTCACTCAATGCAACAATCAACTTCCACTCCCCTAAGACAACACAGCAGCACATTGCAAAGGATTCCAGAGAAACTCCTCCTTCTGAGCTTTGCAGCAAGCCCTCCATTTCTGCATGACTAGACTTGACTTGAAGAAAAGCAGCAACAGAAACTGGGAATCACTCTAATATGCTTATCTGATAAAATTCACCCTGGTAAATTACAGTTAGAAAGAATGTCATAACCAAAGTGAAGTATTTATTTTAAACATTCTGATTTGACTTCAAGATTGATCGAACTCACATCTCTAGATGCCCAGGCATCTACTGCACCTGTTTCAATAGTGATCTAGAAATTCCAAAGCCTACCAGGTCCCAACAACTACACCTACTTCTTACAAATAAAATACTCAATATCTAGTCAAGGTTTTATTCTTTTTTTTTTCTAATGTCTAAGAGAGATCATGCTTACATATGCCTTTTTATGTGTTATACCTGAAAACTACTAAGAAGTGTCAAATGGCTTCTCAAGATGACTGACAATGTATGTCTTTTCCTTAACATGTTGCAGGTAAAACAGTTCACACCTAACAGATATATAGTTTCTCTTACCAGAGATACCAATTCGATTTGCCAAAAGCAATTCAGTGGACATTTCACAATGAGATTTAAAAAAAAAACTAGAGCAACGGCATTTATAGCTACAAGAAAAACACCCCATTGGTGGGAGGCCAAGTAATTTTCAAAACACTACGAGTTCATCCTCTCTACTCTTTCTCACTATTTAAAAGCTGTGAAAACTCCTAAGTATTTTGTACTAGTCCCTGTTTTCCAACATCAGCAACTTTAAACATGTGAAGATTTGCAAAATAAATCTTTGAGGCTGTCCTTATTGTTGGTCTTTACATCTCCACACCCACAGAAAGCAATACCAGATGCTCTAATAGGGCCTGCTAAAAACCACAAGGAATCATTTCACTATAATGAATTTACTTCCATTACATCCAGATGCTCTCCAAAAACACAGTATGAGATACTTGCAAACTTACAGTAGTGTAGTCTCATTAGAAATGTTATGTTCATAGGACTTAACAAAACAGAAAAACTGCCAGATACACATTAAGTAAGGCCATTTACTTAATTTGACTAAACTTGCTGTTGTGTAAGTTCATGGTTCCAAGACACAATTTCTCAGAAGATAAACAGGAAGCATTAAGGAATCGCTACACAATGCTTGTAGAGCTGCTACTGGTTGGCAGTTTGCCACCTTCCCTCCCTCCCCATTTCGCGCGTCATATGAGTAAACCTTGCATGAAGAGAAACTGAAGATGCGGCTGAGTTATGAGGCACCAAATAGTCATGAAAATGTAACAGTAAAAGAGCTAATCTGAACAGCTTGCATGTGTGGTGACTGAATGACTGAGGGCTGTGTGGCTTGAATGACACCCTGGGCATGAACAGTTTGACCCAAAGGCAACTGCACTAGAGTTACAGCTGGAGATCTTCCTCCAGCACTTGAAACCTGCAAAAATTACAATCATCATGTTTAAGAAACATGCCTTAAGATGTCAGCAAATGCTTTCACAAATGATACTAAAAGAAACTGGTTTTGATCCCGTATCTAAAATATGTTAGCCATGTGTACTTATCGCACAAAAATAAACTAGTTTTACCAGTAAAAGTTTGATATCTTTCCACGTGGTGTGGAAAGTTTAAGACTGTGCCCTATCAAATTGCAATTTTTTTTTTCTCTGCAGAGACTTTATGTTTTCTTTTCAATTAAAAATAACCCTAAGCTATCACACACTAAATCTGCTGTCGCTAGCATGAAAGTTAGGAAGAATCTCAAGAAATGTAACAAAAAATATCAATATGGTATGATGCTGCAACAACATACAGGGTAGGATGTTCTTAGTCATGGAAAAAAAAATTAAAATCCATAACTGCTTTGGTTTTGCTTTGTTAGGTAAGAAGTTTAGTCTGAACTTCTGCTTTTCAGATACATAACAGATGCAAGAATTTTTCAAACAGCAAAAACACACGTTAAATAAAGCAATACATGGATTTGTAAATTGGTTTAGTTTAATAAATCCTTCTTTTATACATATATCTATATATCAAGAAAAAGTGTGCGTCAGTGTTTCAATGCAAAAACAAAAATAAAGAACAGCTGTATGTTCTTTAAGCCTAGCATAGCTGAAGAAAGTGTTCTGTTTCAGAATAATCTGATCCCTTCTTCTGATGACATTTTAGAGCACACAGAGCTTTTCCCAGCCCTTGGCTTTCAGCCACCAGTATTGAGGGTGAATAGGTTAAGGAACAGTTTCATACCCACAGGCTAAGAAATAGTTTGATATTTATGCTATAGTTGTTAAGTCTACTAACAGAAATAGTGAAACCAAGAGCAATGACTATGAACGATCTCAAGTTCCGTGTGATGAAACATCTCTAAACTCAGAAAATTAAGAGAATGACACAGAAGTCATATGATAAAAAAAGATGCTGTGTTTTTCAAATGAAAAATGCCTTGAAAAAAACCTTAATTCT